ATTTACACGGGATTGACACGGGATTTACACGGGATTGACACGGGATTCCCGTGGGATTTAAGGCACCACCGGCAGGAACACGGGGAGAGGGACGACACAGGAATGACATGGGAATGACACGGGATTGTCACGGGATTTAAAAGGGATTAAGGCAGAACCAGCAGCAAATCCAGGGATGGGAATGACACGGGAATGACATGGGATGGACACGGGACCAATGGGGGGGGTTTAAGGCCGGAATCAGCAGGAACAACATGTGACTGACACGGGATGGACACAGGATGGACACGGGATGGACATGGGATGGACACAGGACCAATGGGGGATGTTTAAGGTTGGAATCATCAGGAACAACACGTGACTGACATGGGATGGACACGGGACCGATAAAGGATGTTTAAGGCCGGAATCAGCAGGAACAACACGTGACTGACACAGGATGGACACGGGATGGACATGACATGGACACGGGACCAATGAGGGATGTTTAAGGCCGGAATCAGCAGGAACAACATGTGACTGACACGGGATGGACACGGGATGCACACGGGACCGATGAAGGATATTTAAGGCCAAAATCAGCAGGAACAACATGTGACTGACACGGGATGGACACGGGACCGATAAAGAATTTTAAGGCCGGAATCAGCAGTAACAACACTGACCAACACGGGACGGACACGGGATGGACACAGGATGGACACGGGACGGACACGGGACCGATAAAGAATTTTAAGGCCGGAATCAGCAGTAACAACACTGACCAACACGGGATGGACACGGGATGGACACAGGATGAACACGGGACCAATGGGGGTGGTTTAAGGCCGGAATCAGCAGTAACAACACGTGACCGACACGGGATGGACACGGGGACAGCCCCGGGCCCCGGGTGACCCCCTTGTTGCCCCCTAGGCCCGTGCCCCGTCTGCCAGTCGCGGCGCCAGGGCCAGCAGGAGCCGGCGGAGGTGCCGCGCCCCTTCCTGGGCGGCCGCCAGCACCTCCTCGTGCCCGGGGGGCGTGGCCTCGGCCCCGGGCCCCGCCCCGATGCCCTTCTGCTCCTCCTCCTCCTCATCGTTGTCGCCTGGGGCCGCGTTGGTGATGAGGGACAGGCCCAGGACCCGCAGGCCGCAGTGACGCGCCGCCGCCGCCTCCGACACCGTGCTCATGCCTGGGGAATGGGGGCGTGGTCAGCTTGGGGATGGGCGTGGTCAACTTGGGAATGGCCAAAGTCAACTTGGGAATGGGCGTGGTCATCTTGGGAATGGGCGTGGACAGTTTGGGGATGGGCGCGGTCAACTTGGGGATGGGCGTGGTCAACTTGGGAATGGCCAAAGCCAACTTGGGAATGGGCGTGGTCACCTTGGGAATGGGTGTGGTCAGTGAGGGGGTGGGCATGGTCAGCTTGGGGATGGTTGTGGTCAGCGAGGGAATGGGCGTGGTCATCTTGGGGATGGGCGTGGTCAACTTGAGAATGGCCAAAGTCAACTTGGGAATGGGGTGGACGACTTGGGTGTGTCCCAGGTGTCCCAGGTGTGTCCCCCTCCCCCCCCATCACATCCTTGGCATGTCCAGCCCGTTTTGGGCCCGTTTTGGGTGAGTTTTGGGTGGGTTCTGGACTCACCGACGGCGTCGGCGCCGAGGCGCCGCAGGAGCCGACACTCGGCCCAGGTCTCGTAGCTGGGCCCCCCCACGCCCACGTAGACCCCCGGGCGGGCGTGGAGCTCGGGGGGGGCCAGGGACAGGGCCAGGCGACGCAGGGCGGGGTCGTAGCCGTCCGTCATGGCCGGGAAGCGCGGCCCGAATCTGCCGGGGGAACGGCCCGGGAGTGGGCGTGGTCAGCTCGGGAATGGGTGTGGTCAGACTGAGGATGGGCGTGGTCAACTTGGGAATGGGGGTGGACGTTTTGGGAACAGCCAACGTCCAGTTTGGCATGGTCAATGTCAACTTGGGAATGGCCAAGGACAACTTGGGAATGGCCAATATCAACCTGGGAATGACCAGTGTCAACCTGGGAATGAGCCGTGTCAACGTGGGAATGGCCAAGGTCAACCTGGGAATGGCCAAGGACAACTTGGGATTGGCCATGGTCAACCTAGGAATGACCAGTGTCAACCTGGGAATGGCCAACGTCCAGTTGGGGATGGCCAAGGACAACTTGGGGATGGCCAAAGTCACCCCGGGAACATTGCCCCGCCCCCCCTCCGACCCCGCCCACCTGTCATCGTTGGGCCCCACCAATGGGCTGCGCCCGGCCAGGCCGGGCAGGTCGATGTGGTCGCGGATGACCAGGAGGTGTCCGGGGGCCAGGCCGGGGCTCAGGGCGCCGGCGGCGTTGGTCAGCACCAGCGTGTGGACGCCCAGGAGGGCCAGGGTGCGCACCGGCATCACCACCTGGGCAGGGGGGCGGGGACATGCAAATGAGGGGGCGGGGACATGAGGATTAAGGGGCGGGGCCTGGGGATGGGGCGGGGCCAAGGGGTGAGGTGGAAAGGGGCATCGCTTCCTGTAGGGGGCACTAACTGTGGAGGCGGGGTCTGGGCATGCAAATGAGGGGCATGATTATGCAAATTGGAGGTGATTTATGCAAATGAGACATGTTGTCATACAAATGAGGGGCGGGGCCAAGGGACAGGGTACAAAGAGTGTCGCCACCTGTAGGGGGCGCTAAGTGTTTATGAGGGAGCGTGGCTATGCAAATGAGGGTTGTGGCCATGTAAATGAAGGGTGGGGTTATGCAAATGAAGATTTTGGTTATGCAAATGAAGGGGCGGGGCCAACGTGAAAAAGGGGCGTCGCCACCTGCAGGCGGCACCTGGGATTTTTAGGGGAAAAAAGGAGGATTTTGGGATTAAAAAAGGATTTTTTTGGGCTAAAAAAAAAAGAGGATTTTAGGGAAAAAAGGAGAATTTTGGGGTTTAGAAAAAGGGATTTTTGGGTTAAAAACGGGGGAATTTTGGGGTTAAAAAGGGGGTTTTGGGGGTTAAAAATGGGGTTTTAGGGGGTAAAGGAGAATTTCGGGGTTAAAAGGGAGAATTTTGGGGTTAAAATAGGGATTTTGGGGATTAAAATCCAAAGAAATGGTAAAAAAACGGGTTTTTCTCCCAAAAATGTGGATTTTTTGGGCCTTAAAAACATGTCATTTTGCCTTAAAATGTGGATTTTTGCCTTAAAATGTGGATTTTTGCCTTAAAATGTGGATTTTTGGATGTAAAAAAAGTGCAAATGAAAGGGCGGAGCCAAGGGAACGGAGGTGTGGCCAAGGCAGGGGCGTGGCCAGAAAAGGGGGAGGAGCTTGGGGAGGGAGGAGAGGGACTAAAGAGTGGGAGGAGCTCTGGGGCAAAGGGGGTGTGGCCTAAAGAGAGAGGGGAGGGGCTTAAGAACAGAACACAATAAATGGGTGGGGCTTGTCAAGAAAGGGGCGGTGCTGGTGGGCGTGTCCCGGGGAAAGGGGGCGTGTCCCTCACCTGGGCGGGGCTGTAGCCCTCGTAGAGGTGGAAGCGGCCCTGCAGGACGGCGCAAGGCCCCGCCCCC